ACTATTTTTGTTCAGTATATATCAGTGGTAGTCAACCTTTTTCCACTTACCGCCCACTAATGCATCTTTCTTGATGGAAAAATTTCCTTACCGCCCACCAGTTTTCGCGCAAGCGCAGAATATTTTTTAGAAAGGAGGGTGTTTTAAAAAATACATAAATGAACGTACATTTATCTTTTTATTTCTACTTTATGCATGTTTATAATGTTTTTAACTTTATAAAGTTTAATGAGGAAGCTATAAAGTAAATTGAACTTACCTTTACTAGTGATTAATGAGATCCTTGAGGTTGATGCTGCGAGACTAAATATTTGATATCTGGTTCGATTTTCATAAGGAACAAACGAAGGTCTCCTCTTTCAGTGATAATCGGAAGACTTCTTTGTTTGCTCATAAAATGATTTCTCATCTGTGTGTCAGCTCCCCTCCTCTCCCTCCTCAATTCCCCTTCCCACCTTTTTCCCCTTTTTTCTATTTTTTAACCTTCCTTATAGCAATGCCCAGTAGGAAGGCTGAGCTAGGTAGCCCACTTACTATTATTAGTCAACAACAATTCTCTCCTTTTCCTTTTCTTTCCTTCTTTTTTACAAGTACTCTACTCCTTCTTTCCTCTATACTAGAAGTACTCTACTCCTTCTTTCCCCTATACTAGAAGTACTCTACTCCTTCTTTCCCCTATACTAGAAGTACTCTACTCCTTCTTTCCCCTATACTAGAAGTACTCTACTCCTTCTTTCTCCTATTCTACAAGTACTCTGCACCTTCTTTCTTCTATTCTACAAGTACTCTGCACCTTCTTTCTTCTATTCTACAAGTACTCTGCTCACAGGCAAACACATACACACACACACACACACTCACATTGAAACACATACACACAAATATACACATACTCACACATGCACTTACAGACACTCACACATGCACAGACAGACCCACAGACACACACACACTTACTGACACACACATACACTTACAGACAGACACATACACTTACAGACAGACACATACACTTACAGACAGACACATACACTTACAGACACAGACACACACATACACTTACAGACACACACACATACACTTACAGACACACACACATACACTTACAGACACACACACATACACACACACACACATACACTTAGAGACAAACACATGTACACACACACACACATACACTTAGAGACAAACACATGTACACACAAATTATTAATATTAAATATCCACCCAGCCTCCCTACCTGGAGAGCTGGTGTGGATCTGTCCCTGGGGTCCAGTGGGGCTTCACTTAGGCGGGCGGCTAATCAGACGCAGCGAGGGAGCTCTAACCTCTCTGCTCTGCTCCCTCGCGGACTGTCTACGGATGCCGGGAGCCGGAATATGACATCATATTCCGGCTCCCGCGGCATCAGCAAACATCGCGCGAGGAAGCAGAGCAGAGAGGTTAGAGCTCCCTCGCCGCGACTGATTAGAACTCTGCCATGCCGGGGGGTCCAGAAGGTGGCCTGGCAGGAGGGAGCGCTTCCTCCTGCCGGTCACTGAAGACTTGCGCATGCAGAGCCGCTCGCGCCCGCCCAAAAGGAGAAATCCTCTTAAAAAGAGGATTTAGCCTCAGAAATCCCTACCGCCCACCTGGAATCCTAAAACGCCCACTAGTGGGCGGTAGGGACCAGGTTGACGACCCATGGTATATATTAATGAGGATCCTATGGCACGAGATATGCAAATGATTGCTGCAAAAAACTTGCGGATAACTTGTGATTGGATGACTCGAGACATGGTGCTACAACAGTTAAAGAAAATTAATGTAAATAAAGCTCCGGGGCCTGACGGTATTCACCCATGAGTACTTAAAGAGCTAAGTGGGGAAATAAGTGAACCTCTGTATTTACTTTTTCAAGAGTCTTTGTTTCAGGTATTGTACCGGAGGATTGGAGGAAGGCAGATGTTGTTCTTATATTTAAAAAAGGGTTCCAAATCCTTACCTGAAAATTATAGACCTGTGAGCTTAACTTCTAAGCAGGGGTCAAGTCCTGGGGAAAAAAGTGTGGGAACTCACCCAAGATTCCCCCCATCCACCCCTTAAAAAAAAAAAAAATTACACTCCTATGCATATAGTGCAGTGCAGGGTGTGTATAATGAATGTAGTGTGTTTGTAGTGAATGCAGAGTGTGTATAGTGAATGCAGAGTGTGTATAATGAATGCAATGTGTTTTTAGTGAGTGCAGAGTGTGTACACTGAATGCAGTGTATGTAGTGTGTTTGTAGTGAATGCAGAGTGTGTATAGTGAATGTAGTGTGTAGTGAGTGCAGAATGTGCATAATAAATGCAGAGTGTGTATAGTGAATGCAGAGGGTGTATAGTGAGTGAAGAGTGCGTGTGCGAGTGCTGGATGATGTGTGTGTGTGTGTGCTGGATGATGTGTGTGTGTGTGTGCTGGATGATGTGTGTGTGTGTGCTGGATGATGTGTGTGTGTGTGCTGGATGATGTGTGTGTGTGGCTGGATTATGTGTGTGTGTGTGTGTGCTGGATGATGTGTGGTGTGTGCTGGATGATGTGTGTGTGCTGGGATGATGTGTGTGTGTGTGCTGGATGGTGTGTGTGTGTGTGTGTGCTGGATTATGTGTGTGTGTGTGCTGGATTATGTGTGTGTGTGTGTGCTGGATTATGTGTGTGTGTGCTGGATTGTATGTGTGTGTGTGTGTGCTGGATGATGGGTGTGTGTGAGGTGATGGATGGTGTGTGTGTGTGTGTGAGTGCTGGATGATGGGTGTGTGAGTGCTGGATGATGGGTGTGTGTGTGCTGGATGATGTGTGTGAGTGCTGGATGATGTGTGTGTGTGCTGGATGATGGGTGTTTGTGTGAGTGCTGGATGATGGGTGTTTGTGTGAGTGCTGGATGATGGGTGTTTGTGTGAGTGCTGGATGATGGGTGTGTGAGTGCTGGATGTGATGTGTGTGTGTGAGTGCTGGATGATGTGTGTGTGTGTGTGCTGGATGATGGGTGTGTGAGGTGATGGATGATGTGTGTGTGTGTGTGTGTGTGCTGGATGATGGGTGTGTGGTGATGGATGAGTGTGTGTGTGAGTGCTGGATCATGTGTGTGTGTGTGTGCTGGATGATGGGTGTGTGAGGTGCTGGATGATGTGTGTGTGTGTGTGTGTGCTGGATGATGTGTGTGTGTGTGTGTGTGTGTGCTGGATGATGTGTGTGTGTGTGTGTGTGCTGGATGAGTGTGTGTGTGCTGGATGATGTGTGTGTGTGAGTGCTGGATGATGTGTGTGTGAGTGCTGGATGATGTGTGTGTGTGCTGGATGATGTGTGTGTGAGTGCTGGATGATGGGTGTGTGTGTGAGTGCTGGATGATGGGTGTGTGTGTGAGTGCTGGATGATGGGTGTGTGTGTGAGTGCTGGATGATGGGTGTGTGTGTGAGTGCTGGATGATGGGTGTGTGTGTGAGTGCTGGATGATGGGTGGGGGGAGCATTTTTTTGAACTTTATGTGTCTATATTTTTTTTTATCCCCCCCCTCCCTGCTTCTTACCTTGTCAGGGAGGGGGGAGATCGCCTGGTGGTCCGGTGGTATGCTGGAGGGAACCAGCAGCTGCACAGAGGGGCCATCACACGCTGTGTTCCCTCTCCAGCTCTAACTCTCGCGAGACTCGCCTGTGCGGAGCGTTGCCATGGTAACAGCCGCGGGTCTCGCGAGAGTTATAGCTGGAGAAGGAACACAGCATGTGCTGGCCCCTCAGTGCAGGTAGCAGGGCCGGTCCTGCAGGACAGGTAACGGGAACGGCGTTCCTGCTTTGGAAAAAGTGCAGGAACGCCGTTCCCATGCGTTCCTGCAGGACTCGAGCCCTGCTTCTAAGGACTATTAAGGGATAATATTCAGGAATTCATTGGGAAGAACTTTGTTATTAGCAATAATCAGCATGGTTTTATGAAACATAGGTCATGTCAAACTAACCTAATTGCATTCTACGAAGAAGTAAGTAGAAGTATAGATCAGGGTGTTGCAGTGGATATGATCTACTTGGATTTTGCCAAGGCATTTGATATGTTTCCTCACAATAGGTTAGTCTTCAAAGTAAAAGGAATTGATCTAGATGAATATTCTTGTTCTAGGGGTAAAACATTGGCTTAAGGATAGAGTACAACAAGTTGTGATTAAGGGTACATTTTCAGGCTGGACAAAAGTGGTAAGTGGTGTCCCTCAGGGTTCTGTTTTGGGACCGCTTCTATTTAACATATTTATAAATGATCTTGAAATAGGCATTGAAAGCTATGTATCAGTGTTTGCAGATGACACAAAACTTTGTAAAGTAATAAAATGTGAGCAGGATATTGCTTTGCTGCAGAGGGATTTGGATAGATTGGGGGACAGTGCACTTAAATGGCAAATTACAATTAACATAAAGAAATGCAAAGTTATGCACTTCGGGGTTAAGAATGCACAAGCAAATTACACCCTATATGGTAGTGAACTAGGGATAACCAC